ATGGGTGCCTTTGAGAAAAAGAATGTTTAATTCTTGGATACCCTGTTGGCAAGGTGGATTCTTATTTAATCCTAAAGTTCTTGAGAATGCAATAACGTGACTGAGGGCTTAGCCTAGAGCAGCATTCAAGACACTAATAGTTGTTTTAAGACTGAGATGAATGGAGTGTTCATCTAGTGAAAGACTTATTTTCATCCCCAAAACACTGTGACTTAGTGTGTGCCTGGCTGCATCCCATCTGTCAGCTTCTGTCAATCAGAAAAGCTAATGAGTCTTTTTGGGGGTCCCTTCTATTCAAGAAGAATCCTTTGATAGACCTCATTTCCTTTTCCAACCAACCCTTGATGGCAGCTGGTGCATAAAGTGGCATTCAGTGCAGTGTCTGACTTCAGTTGGGCCTCATCTGTCCCTTATTCATGAATAAAGTATAAGGAAATAATTTTCATATTCCTTATATGTATCTTAATTCTTCAAAACTCAAACTGTCAAAAAAAATATAGGTATCAGACGACCCTGTCCTTTTCACAGGTGAGGAAATGGAGGTCACCTGTTAAACAGAGGGATCTCAGATTGTGGAGGGAGGGGATGCAAAAACTGAGCCATCTTCCCCTGGCATTCTCTTCTGTCAGGGTTTCAGATAAAGCAAGAGAATGAATCATCATGAAGTCACCTTGGAGAGAGGCCCATGTGCAGCCTCAATGCAGGTTCAGGCAGCCCTGCAGCTACAACAGACCTTATGGCCATCCTGAGCTAATAAGTGACTGAGTTAGGTTTGACATTTTCAAAAGAGTAGTGAGATCAGTCCTCTTTTGTGAGTTAAGACTGATTCAGCATTAACTTAGGACATCCTTGATCTTATTTCCTAATGTATCTGCTGGCCAGAACAGCATGCACCCTCTCAAGGCTATGAGAACAGAGAGATGCTGATTCCTCAAACAGCCCTAATATGTTTCCTGACTGTAGATTTGTGGCTATTTTTCTCTGCTCTTTAGCCTTCCAAACATCCTTGATCCAAAAATGCAGGATGTCACTTAAAAATCCACAAGGAAGAATGCTCTCCCAGCGGCCTTGTCTCTCTGAACTCAATGGCTGCATGCTACTCACATTTGAGCAGCTGAAGTCTTTTTCTAAATTTATAGGATACCATTTAGATGGCTGGGGTGGGGGTTGCTGAAAGTTGAAACACCTTTGACACATTTACACACCTTGGCAGCAGATTTAATGGTCAAATAAGCTGAAGGTCCCTCCTGTTCTGTGCACAAGCTCTTGCTCTGGTTTTGAATAAGGTTCATAGACAAGTGGAGTGGGGATTGCAGTATTGAGTTCTAAGTTGTCCAGTACCTGCCTCACACGGGGTCTTGCTAAGGACTTTCATCTCCATCGGGCTGATGTTCTTCACTGATAAAGTAAGGGTAGAAACTGCCACGTGGGTCTTCCTTGGACAGGTTTTATATTTTAGGCTAGAGGTTAAACATGAGACAAGGTGATTATGATTCAAAATAAGAAATGCTCTGAAGTTTGAGGACAACTTGATGCTCTGAATTCCTATTTTGGGACATTTAAGATTTCAGGATTTTGCATTATGATCATTGATTAGTAAAGTCTATGCAAATATCCTCAAATTTAAAAAGGTGAAAAATTCTAAATACTCTGATCCCAAGTACTTTTTGATGAGGGATCCTCAAACTAAAGATAAACACCACCATTCCTTGCCCAGTGTTGCTGTCAAATTTTTCCATTACTACCAGTGAACACTTACTAAGTATGTATCATATACTCTGGGTTGCTGTGTCATACACTGTGAAACCTAGGACTGTCTCCCAAGGTCTGTATTTATTGGGAGAATATTTTTCTCTCTCTCACATGAAATATAGTTATCAGGAAGCTATACTTTAATAAGGACATCGTGTAGGCCTATACGGGCTGAATTTGTAGCCATGACAAAAATCACCAGCTAGTAGGGTAAGATTACCTAGGGATGAAAAAAATGTTACTGAATGTAGTGTTGTCTTGAAAGAGTATCTTTGAGACTAAGGGTAGAGGGAAGAGTCCCCAGAAAATGACAAACTACCGAGCTGCAGCAGCACATGGTTTAAAATTATGACTGATTATTCTTTGGCTTTCGTCCACTAGCATGGGCCTTTACAGGGGGTGCAGCCCATGGTAGAGCTTTTGTTTAGCATGTGCAAGGTTATGTGTTCAATTTTTAGTTCAATTGCAAGCATCGTCAAATTAAAACAAAATAATGCCGGGCAGTGGTGGCACACGCCTTTAATCTCAGCACTTGGGAGGCAGAGGCAGGTGGATTTCTGAGTTCGAGGCCAGCCTGGTCTACAGAGTGAGTTCCAGGGGAGCCAGGGCTACACAGAGAAACCCTGTCTTGAAAAACCAAATAAATAAATAAATAAATAAATAAATAAATAAAATAAACAAATAAATAAATAACTCCAACTCAAGCTCACATTCATAAAACACACTTTGCTTTCTTGCCCATGTGGGCTGTATTTGGGGATTCACTTCCTCTAATGCCCCAATTGTGACAGAGGTGTAGGACACAGGACAGATCTGCCTTTCTCACTCACTCTTTAGTCATTCCTATAGCACAAGACAGATGCCCTAGGGAGCCCTGATGTCTGTCCTCAGTTGTCATGTTGACTGAATTTGGAATTAACTAAAATCTAAATGGTTGATTACATCCATAGGAATTTTTATTTATTTATTTATTTTTTATTTTTATAAATCATTTGTAGTGGGAAGAGCCACTTTTAATCTTGATCTTTGAGTTGGGAACATCCACCTTTAATCTAGGACACACCTTCTGCTGGTAGCCTATGTAAAGGTCATAGGAGAAGGAAGCTTGCTCTCTTTATCTGTTCTTGATAGCAAGTCCATTCTTTTACTGGCATTAGAGCCTTCTTAGGGATCCTGATGTATACTGAAGGCCAGATGAGACATCTGGCTTCACGGACTGAACAGCTACTGGATTTTGGACTTTTTCTTGGTAGACAATCATTGGTAGACTAGCTGAAACATAGGCTGTAAGTCATTCTAATTGACTCCATAGATTGGATTTGTGTGTGTATTTGTATTTTTGTATATATTTGCATATATTTGTTCTATAAGTTCTGTTCCTCTGGAGAACCCTGAGGAATATAGGAGAGAATTTTCTTGTGAGGAACTGAGGCTACTTGCCATGGAAGCCATATTAGAGAGTGGTGTTCTAGCTGCGAATCCTGACGCACTGCCACCCACCATCTTGAGAACAGCTTCATGAAACAACCTGTCAGGAATTGTTTGGCTAAGTCAGTCCAGGGTTTTCAGTGCACAGACAATAAGATAGCGAGTACTTACTGTTTTAAATTGCTGAGTTCTGGGGCAATTTATTATACTGTGTATCATGAAATTAGTAGGGAAAGTTCTTAATGTTAACTAACTTGTCTTTTGTAGCATCTTGGCAGCCTGGATGTGTCTAGATTCAGGGAGGTGAATGTCCAAAAGTGTCTCTGTGTTAAGAAGCTAGGATTTATCCTCTCAACAATCCACCCCATCTAACCATCTAACCATCAAGAGGGTGTCTGCTATACAGAGGCGTGGCAGTGGGCTGAGTGGCGCTGGCTGAGGGGAGACTCCCATGTAGAAGTTTTAGAAACAATACTTGAGGTGAAGCGGTCCAAGCCTGACCTAGACAACAGCATAGTAATTAATGGATGTGGAAGAACTGCTTTAGGATTTGGTGGTTTTCAGAAAACCAAACTGAGTTTGTTTCCAGGACCCTCGAATGTAGTAACCTTATATTCCTGAGTGTATGCCTGTGTGAAACTTCTAGGAGCTAGAAGAAGGCATGCTTTGTAGAGGCTCTCACGTCTCATAGGAACAGAAAGCCTCACATTGTCCAGTATACAAATGAGGCTAGGAGACTGGACTGATTCTTATGGATGCTAGCTATATAGTGTAGGTTGCAAGCACCATCTACAACCAAACTACCATAAGCAATGGCATACACTTAGCTAGGAAATGTTCCTCTCCACAAAGATGGCTTTCTTAGGAAAATAACATTTTTCAATATTTTAATTGCTCCAAAAATTGATAAGTATGCCGAGGCATCTATGTCTTGAAAAGTCATATTTCTATATATGTGACACGTAGACAAACCTTTTTTTCTTTGCTCAGAAAATTTCTTATTATATTAATTTGAATATGTATCACCACCATTCACAGGAGAATTCTAAAAAAAAAAATGTTCCTTTTGTAAAGCACAGTTCTAGTCGCAGAGAACATGGCTGAGAGAAGCAGGATGAATTGAAAACTAGTAGGAAGAGTCAGGAGATAAAATATTTGCCAGTAAAATAGGTTGAGAATCATTACTCTTTTTGAAAATCCTATTTTTATAATGCTTCCTTATATTTGCATATTAAGTATAATCTTAGAAGAAAATTTCTTGATTCAATAAATACTCATTGAATCCTCAATGTTCAAGTCATGAGGCAGGACACAGCTCCTTAGGAATGGTACTTCTCTTACAAAGCTGTGAAAAAATCTAAGTCCTTTTAAGGCAGAGGTTGTTGACTATGGTGGTCCAGGGTCTGCCACCTTGAAAGATCAGTAAGTGGGAAAGACATGACCACACACAGTGGTACTGATGCTGGGCCTGAACAAATGAAATCAGGGCTAGCCATGTCAAAGTTATGTACCCTCCCTCCCCCAGTAAGAACACCAGTATTTCAACTGAAGAGTCTTCTGAAAAATTTGAAAAAATCCTGATGTTTAAGGAAAGGCAAAAATAAAATATGTGTCAACTAAGTGAAGAGGCAGTAACTATTTTAGCAAACGTACACCAAAATAACTACAATTAAGAATAGTGCTGCTGGTAGCCATTGAGATGGAGTGAGGTCAATGTAATGGAACAATGTTTCATAAAGCCTATAAAAAATGTGCTTCTGGCCCACAGTCCAAAGTTAACTTCTTATGAAGAAAATAAAGGACAAAGAAATCAGCACAGGTAAAGCCTACATGAAAGCTATTTATTAGCATAACTTTCTTCTTAGATTCCAGAACAACTAAAGTATGTACAAAGTCTTACAGCATTCACACCATTTAAAGGCTCCTAGTAGCTGATGAGGACCAAGGTGGTTCTGAGAACCTATGGGTTGTGAAGCAGTGAGGAGACCACCACCCGGTGTCTTCTGCTTCCACTGCCAACACTGGCAGCTGGCTCACAGCTCCTGAAATCACCAGGAGGGAAGGTTATTGTGGGAAGGGGCAACAAGAGACAACAGGGTAGAAAGTTACAGTGTTTCTATAGTTTTCTAGGGCTGTAACAAAGACCCACAGCCTGAGAGAGGAGTATAAGCAAGGTAACAGAGTCACACTGCTGAGATGTGAAGCTGCGACCACGGGACGCGGTGGGATGGAGACTGTACTGACATGAATGGTATCCTCACTTCCCTTCAAGTCTTCAGAGTGCAAACCTGCAGAAGCCCAACCCATCTGCCCCAAACAGAACAACTTCCATGGGAGCAAGGGAGAGAAACAACAGGAGTTAGTAGTTCTTGGGCAAAAGCACAAAACAAATAAAATCCCACAAAATAACGTTTTAAAAATCGCATTCTGTATCAGCTTTAATCAGCTGTAGAGTGGCACTTCCTGTCATGTTAATACTAGAGATTTCGGAATTATCTCACTTTGAACAATAGTCTCCCCAACCTCCTCCCAATCAATATTGAACCTTCTACATTTCTTATCCCGGGTTTTATCTGATTGTCTTTCCTGGGGTCAGTACTACAAAAATACCATCATGTACATTGAATTGGACCAAGGACTGCACTGTTGCCCCACAAGGCAACAAAGTGGCAAGGGAATGCCAGTGTATGAAGCACAGGGCAGGGCCAACCACTTGATTTCCCATAAATAAACTCCAGCCTGGCTCTATATCTGTCAGTCATTCTGTGTCTGGTGGCAAGTCCCATATATTTTCCCAGTGTTATGGTCTCCCATGTAGGCAAAGTGGCTTTTTGTTTCAAAAAGATTCTGCTCTCAACTTAAAAGCCAGTTGATAAATTTTTTTAATTAAGACACAATAATGCAGGGTATAAAAACACAAAAACCACATAAATATTGAAGAAATCGAAACCATTTTTTTTTCCTGTAAACAGTTTTGCTTAAGAGCAAAGCCCAAATCAGATTCTGGCCAGAAACTTTGGCAGACGAGTGTTCAGCAAGGCTCTGCAGAGGTGTGACAAGGAAGCCAGGCCAGTCGCCATGTTGACAGGCATGCAACTTGAGAACATTGCACAACAAGCAACACAAAGAGTGGAGAAGCTCACAACACTTCAAGGAGACCTCACGACCTTCACAACTGTGTATGCAGACAGACCCACCCCTCCCTCCTTTTCACCACTGTGCCTCTTACACGTGAGACACCTTCTGTGACTCTCTAGCTTGTTTGATGCTATATAGCCACTTGATGATTCTAGCATTTCTTTCGATGGCAGAAATGCCATATGGCACCCGGTCATTGGCACTGTCATCATTTCTAAGGTCACTGTTACTATCCTGAGACTGTTCACAGTCTGAGCTGATCATGCTTGCGCTGCGGAAGTTGAGTGATATGATGTCAGAATTAGCCCTTGCAAAGTTCTCCATGCCAAGGTTTTCCAGCTCTTCAGGGTCAAGTCCGCAGTAGTTGAAGAACCTCTCCACGTCTGCATCTACTCGGAAATACCTGTCACTCAAGTCTGACTTGGACCGCTGAAGGGAAGGTCTCCGGCTGACCCCACAGGCTGGTTCCACCTGGTCAGCCTCAGGGGACTTCATGGCAGCCACCTTGGGCTTGGGAGGCAGGGGAGGGGCAGAACTGCTGCAGGGGATGGCTTTAAGGGGCTTCACACTGGTCACTTTGCGGATGTCTGAGGAACTGTGTGAGACGTGCAGGAAGGACTCCGCGGACTGCTCCAACAGCCGCCTGCTCACATGGGAGCTGGTCTCCTGCGGGCTGCCACGGCCAGGTGTAGGATACACCTTCAGCGACTCTGCGAAGGAATGCCGGTGCAGGTCAGTGGTGTCTCTGTGAGGTGGCCAGTTTCGGGAGCTATGCTTGTGGCCAGAGCCAGAACTGGAGCCCTCTGAGCTGTTGATGATGTTCTTGAGGATCTCAAGCTTGAGGGTCTCGCGTTGCACACCACTCTCGGTCTTGGCATGGTTGCCGAACACCTTGAGAGTGGGGCTGCCCAGTGCTCGTTTGGCTCCTGGGCACACGGGGGGCTTGGCCAACACAGCCGGCTTCACTGGCTCCTGCTTGGCATTGATTACCTCCTGGCTCTTGACGTATTTGGCCTTGTCAGCCTCCAGCCGCTCTACCGCACTAAGTCTCTTGGGGTTGGGCTCAGCCTGCCTGCGGAAGTAGTCAGGTCCTTTGTTCAGAATGCGCAGGGGCACCGCCGACGTGAAGGTGCCCGCGGGGCTGACAGGCTTCACCATGCTACCTGTCTGTAGCGTCTCCGTGGGCATGGTGGGAGGTCTTTCTCCGGCAGCCGTGGTGGATGCTCTTCTGGGCGCCTCTGGCCGGCCTGAACAGACACATGTACACGAAGCACAAAGGGCAGATGAAGGATCCTGGAAGCAGTGTCAGCCGCGGCTGCGCCTCATCTCACAGCTCATTAACCGCCACTGTGGCTTCGGTGTACTTTTCTCCCCTTCCAGGCCGCTCCTACACAAAAAGGCCACAAGCCACAAGTTCCTTTTAATAGGCTTGGCTGCTTCCTTTCTTCTCCCTGAAGGCTGTGGGAGTCTCCTTCAGGTCTTTGTGCTCAACTGCAGGCAGAGCTGAAACACAAAACAACCAACCGCGGGTTAGGAGGGGCGGGTGACATCACGGCTCTAGCAACAGAGGAACCCTGCAATGCTTCCACCTCTGTGGCACCTCACCCCGCCAAGAGACCCCCAAGGTCAGTGAGGTTTGCAACTGGCAATTCCCGGTTAACCGAGCACCGAGGGCAACTGGGACCTCTCCTGGAGCCTGCGCTGCCTCCAGCAGCAGCCAGATGTGGGCGTTTGCCAGAAAGAAAGCAGCAGAGGCTTCCCATGGAACTCTTCCAGCTGCCTCCCCATTGGTGAGAACCGCCTCCTAAACACGCCTGGCTGGCATCACTTAGAGTGAGACCCAGGAAATACTTGTGAATAGGGAACTGAGGGTTCAGCCAAGCCCTGTTCCGTTCTGCAGCTCATTAAATGCTAGGGGCTTCCTAAGACCTCCATCTGCTTTAGCAGTACTGTGGGCGATGTGCGCTGCTGTATCCCTTTTGCAGTGAAGTAAAACTTGTTACCACTTATGAACAATCTGTCAGGAAAATCTGAAACAATAGTTTCTTTAATAATTTAAAAACCGGAAAGGTGTGAGAAACAGTGATGGTAAGAAACAACAAAACAAAAAAGCTTGTAAGAAATACAACTGGTTTCAGTTTTCTGAATTTTAGCAAGAAGTATTGTTTCAAAGCACTGTTTTAGAAACCAATAATGCATGTGAAGTTTTTCTCATTAAAATTTATATTTAGTTAAAAATAACTATTATAGAAATAGTTGGAGAGGAACCATATGAGAGGATAAGTTAATTATAAAGTTGTATATAATTTCTCATATTCGACAAGTGTGAAACATCTTGTTTCCTTTTGCTAGTAGGAAAGCCTCCTTCCCAACTGTTAGTATTCCAAAACAGCCAGAAAATGACCTCAACAGCATTCTCTTATAACAAGGACTATTAAGAGAGTGATAAGTCTAACTAACATGTTGGGTTACAAATGTGCACAGCATATAAGGTTACTGTAAGTTACTGTAAGTTTTTCCTCTCATTCGAGATACTGAAGGCAGGGAGGAAATAACTGATATCTCTCTTGATAATCTTCTCAAATGCTTCACCTCTAAATACAATCCATTCTACTTTATTGGAGCCAATTTTGGTAATCTGCAGTGGGATTTGTTTTAATAAAAATGTGTTCCTATGCAGTTTTTGAGAAACCCCAAGGTGATGATACATAATGATTTCCTTTAATTGTGCAATTCTATTTTGATGCCTCAATTTGGTTACAAAAATAAACCAATACAACACCTTGTCTCCTCCCATGAAAATTAAATGAGATTCTTTCTTTGAATGTAATTTGAATGAAACTGCTGGATGAAGCCCTTAATTCCTTGAGTCTTTATGTTGCTTATTCTTTTATTTAGGGTCTATCTCACTGGGCAGGAGACAGGGGCTGTCTTGGTGAATGCAGCATCCTACTGTTCTACTGAGTGGACAGCAAAGCAACCAGCAGGCCTGGGCTGGGAGGCAACCCCAGTAATTACACATATGGTATGGAAGAGAGAAATGCACCCAGTCAGCCTACCTGAGGAATGTGTCACTGTGGGCCTTAGAAATACTTTCCTCTGTGACTTCCTCCTTTCTAACTTTTACCCCTTAGCCATAGAAGCCAGACACATTCCCCCCCCGCCCCCACCCATCAATCTAAACGCAGGGTATAGAACCTACAACCCACTTTCCCTGAAGTAGCCCAAAATCTCAAAAGCTTCAAAAGATCTCTTGACAAGAGTTGGTCACTATAAAATTCTCTGATCTACCTTGTTTGACTGTAAGACCTCATTTCAGAGAGAGTGGGGTGTGCTCATAGCTGGGAGGAAGGGGTACAGCTTAGAAAGACCTTGCTAGACTTCTACCAGTCTGCTGCCATTCAGACACACCCCTTTAGGGCTTTCTGTACATCAAACAAACAAACAAAACCAAAACAAAATAAAACAAAACTAAACAAAAAACAGATGGTTCACCTTGGGTCTTTGGTTTTTTAATCCAAAGGCTCTAACCTAATGTAAACCTATACTTGACTATTTTCCTTGGTTTTTTGTTTATTGTTGTTTTTGTTGTGTGAGGAACAAGAAAGGGCCTTCTATATACTACTTTACCACCGATTAGCTTTAAAACTGTCAAAATGCCTCTATGTCGGGGAAAATACCAGAAGGTTAGGTAAGAGTGAAGAGTGGGCCTTAGATCTATGCCTAAGGAAAGTAACTATCCAAAGCACCCAAAGATGGACCAGAAGTCAGTAGCTGAGTGCCCTTTCACGGTTGTGAGTTAGATAAAATTCCTGTAATCCATTTCTGCTCAGAAACCTTGTAGCTCAAGGACCCAAGACAGGGACTCATTTTAAATTTCAAAATGGAGTAGAATATTGGTGAGTGACTTAACTTCCTATGCCTTTTGTATGGCCTGTTGTTAGGGGAACTTCTCTGTGAGTAAGGGATGTGGTGATCAGGCAACATCACTGGTACCAACATCCTCACTGGCCTATGCTTCTCTCTGCTCTCCTCTCTTCCACTTTCAATCAGGATCAGAGGCAAAACATGTTAATAGTCACCATGGCCCAGCATGCCTGCATGCCAAACTACCTGTGAAGGCAGGCTTTGGTTGCCTCTGAAACCCTAAAAATAATCATTACTCTGAATTCACAAGACTGGGAAATACCAATGCGTCTTCTAGGAGATTTTTCTAGAAAAATCTCTGTTCTTCTCTTCCTATTTTTTCTTCACTACTGAGCCTGGTATCTTTGGGAAGGCTCCTTAGCTTTCCTAGAAAGTACTGGACATTTATAAAGCCGACATGGATTATGTTAAAAAGCAGTGATTCTTTGTAACCACCTCTTATTTCTTTTTTCCATTTCCAGTCTTCCCTTTCTTCTGGGTCATTCTCAATTTCTGTAATAATTTTTAAATAGTAATGAAAGAATACCCAAACAATCAGAAGGCACTGTGAGAAGACTGTAAGTAAAGGGAAAAGCTACAGATACGTTTGGTACTCAAGGCTAATAGTTGATATCTGCTCCCTGTGCTAGCCAATATCTGGACATGATGTGTTGGTGCAGGTTGCTCTCACTTAATCCATGGCATCTGCTCCACTATTTTACATGGGTAACTGTAGTCTGGGGCACAGATCTACAGGCCTGGAGAGATGCTCTGAACTGTACAGTATAGACCAGTGAATTATAAATGACCCAGGAGGTGCTTGGGAGCTGTATCTCAATGACATTGACAAAGTAACCATGGGGTCTTCGAGGGAATGCTGTGGAGCACAAGACCCTGACATCTGGCACAGAGTCTCTAGTGTGGCTGGGATTTATCACATCAGGGAGGCTAACTGCTGGGCTGGGACTAGGGAATTATTTATTTATTTATTTATTTTTGGGAAAGGAAAATTAGTCTCATAATGTTCCATAAATAAAAGTAACTATACAGTTTTGCTTTGATATTTCCCCCTTTGGTGGTGGGGACAGAACCCCAGGCTTGTTCATGCAGAAGCACATCCTTTATCACTGGCTACACCCCAACCGGAGTATACTCTCAGGCTCCTGGCACATGGCCAAGGAGGCAGAACCTGAGAAACAATCTGACAAAGGAAGAAACTTCCCGTTAGATCGTGCTGTCTCCATTCTATCAGGGAGTCCATTCAGGGAATAAGTTTGAGCTACCTGAAGGGTAAGAAGACCAGGATAAAGAAACATGGTTGAGGTATACAGCAAAATACCTGGCTATATCAGGCCAGATGTGATCTCGAAAGTGATTGTGGGTGGATGGGGTCATGATGTTTGATGGAATTCTGGTCTGGGTGGAGGCTTCCTGGTGACTGGCCCTGTACTAGTCTCAAAAATAATAAATGGGGATGCCGAGTTGGATTCAGGAGATTTCCACGAAGGCCGAGAGTCTCCATTTCTTGCAAGATCACAAGATGCTATCTTATTAGAGCAGCAAGGAGGGAGGAGAGGAGGCCCAAATCTGGTTTCATATGCAAATTACAGAACTCACCTTCCTACATCAGAGGAACAGCTAAAACTACCTCAGATTTTCAAAAGCAAGTGTTTTGCATCCTTTAATTTCTACTTTGCTAGCCACTCATGGGATTATTTAGGTAAAACCCTGCCTGGGCCCTCAATATGATATGAAATATTATGGAACACTTAGAACCTTGAGGGGTTAGGGCCAGAAAATATCCTCTACACACATGGTTCATCTGAAAACACACTAATGTCAGTAATCCTGTAAGCCAGGCTAGGCATGTCTCTGTTCCTGGGCAGCCAGGGTACTGAGGTAAGAGTGCCAGGCTTGAACAAGAAGCCCCAGTTCAGGGCTGCCCAGGAACATGGCTCTCCGTTGCTTAGGAGCAAATCCAAAATTCTGGATAACATTCTGTCCCATGAAACACTGTAAGCCAAGTCTGCTCAACTGGGTCATTTCTTCTCCTTTACTCTGAATTTCTGGTAAATAAAAGAGAAACACCCTCTAAATAGTAAGTAGGAAAGAAAGCCACCAGAGTTAGAGCACAGCCTTGGGAACTGAACACACCCACAGAGGTTTCCAAGTGTGAAAGTGGGTCACTCTCCTGGGCACTATGGCATAAGTGGGGGGAAGCAATGTTTCAAAGAGCATGCCTGGCTAATTCCACTCAAACTGCCTAACAGCACAGTCTTGATTTGCTTATGTATAGAAGCAAACATGTTGGTCTGGTGAGCTGGAAATGCCCTGCTCATTCAAGAGGGTGCATGGCAAAAGCAGCTGCTGGGCCTCTGAACTGACGACTGCAGATCTGATTCTGTGGCGCTGTCCACCTCTACTCATACATGATCCAGTGCATGTGTGACCGTGCTCTGCCACATGGCCTCTGCTCTAGTGTCCCTCCTTTTATTTTGTATGTTGGCTCTGGCAAGATTTCTTTTCTCCCAACTTTTTTTTACCTTATGACTTTAAGTATAAAATTGCAACATGACTAGGAGTGCTCCCAATATCTA